CTTCAGCTACGTTATTCACGTAGCTGAAGTTGCGTACCTTAGTTCGATTTGGGGGGTTAGTGTAGACCAAGCCTTACTTACACCAATGCCCTTTCCCACGGCTCTGGCAACACAAAGGAACTGGAGGCCTGGAGCTTGTGAGCACTTTGGAGCCTGGACTGGCTTTTTGGCCTGTGTCCATACAGCGGCTAGCACAATGGGATCCTGGTCTACGCCAGAATACAAATCATAAACAATAACAGTGCGAACGAGAAGCTGGCCCCTAGACTCTAAGGCCTGAGGGGGCCATTCTTCATCTCCTCTGACCTCCTGCATCCCACAGGCTGAAGGATCTCACCCAGCGCTGGGGCTAGGGGCATCTACTCCTCCAAGGGTCCACGCAGGCACCACTGTTTTGCCATTGGCTGTAACGTCCCATTAAAATCAATGGCAGTTCTGAACCCTCAATTGCTGCAGTCTAGGTATACATCACACGGGCATTTCTGCAGCCTAGTTAGCTTTGCTGAGCTTTATTGACTGACCGGAGATGCTTTCCCACCCCCCGAGATGGGGATTTGCATTTACTCCTTTAAAAATTTGCTTTTAAAATATCTGGATTTGCTTAAAAAAATTCACAGGAATCTAAGAAGCCTCCTGCTCTTTTCTACGTTAACAGGTTAACGTCGAGCATCTGTGTGAGAAAATGAAGACCACAGTGAAGAGAGGCCTGGTGTTGAGGTAACCAGCATCAAAACAAGTCAGGCTGGGGACAGTCACAGGCTGCAGCAGGGACCAGTGGCTGAAGTGCTGGACCAGGACTTAGGAGACCTGGGTTCTGTTCCTGGCTTTGCCACAGCCCTGCTGGCTGACTTAGGGCAAGTCACTTGCCTTCTCTGTCTAGCAATTTCCTCAGCTGTACCCCAGGGATGAGACTTTCCCCTCTCGTAAAGCACTTTTCCATGAACAGCATTAGATAGTCCATATTATGGCAGATGCCTCTTACGTGGGATGTATATTCCACAGCCTGTATTAACAATGGTGCTATGAGGGGATGGACAGCAATCAGAATCCTGGTGCAGTAAGCTAGAAGGCAACATTTTTCAAAAGCACCTAAACCACTTAGGCCCAGATCCGCAAAGGTTTTTAGGTGCTCTTTGATTTCAACAGGATTAGGCACCTAAATACCTCTGAGGATCTGGGCCTTAGAAACGCAGGTAATTTTGGGAATGTTCTCCAGATCTGTCTAGGGAAAAGATCTGCTCATCTCCCTGCATGACATGCCCTGGCATAACAGTAAAAAAAACCTTCCAGCCGCACTCACAAATGAAAACCGTAGGCAATACAGGCCCAGCCTACTTCCAAAGGGCTGACCCTGAGCTGCCATCCAGCTCCACCTCACCAGTCTATATTTCTCTCTTTGTGAAATCTCCTTCCTGCCCCAGTTTTTCCCCAATCACCCAATGCTTTAAAGCCACTTACTTGAGTATCCTGTCTCTGTCTGTCGTGTCCACCCCTCGTTCACTTGGGCTTTCGTGTTTGTTCTCACAGGAATGAGAAGTGCAATGAAAACTACACCACCGACTTCATCTTCAACCTGTATTCGGAGGAAGGGAAAGGCATCTTCGAGAGCAGGAAGAACGTCCTGGGACACATGCAGCAGGTACACACGAAGCTGGTGAGGTAGTGTGGCCTAGTGGATGGGGCACTAGACGGGGACTCAGGAGACCCGAGTTCTGGTCCCAGCTTTGCCACTCGGCTGGTGAGTGACCTTGTCCTGGCCCTTTGAGCTCTTCATGCCAGGGCCTGTCTCGGTACCGCTCAGCACAATGGAGCCCGGATCTCAGTCAGGGCTATTATAATACGCTAAATAACAGACACCGCTCTCCTCTAGACAGCAAAGCCCTTCTCACTTCAGTACCATCTTTCCTCTGCCCTATTGCTTCATCCAAGTGACCCAAACCTCTGGAAAGCAGCAGTTGGATTGGCTTCCAGCAACACCACCTTGAAGAGCCAATAGCAGCTCTTCTGGGCTCCCAAATCCTCTGGTGGGAGAGAACAGTTCTAGATGGGAATCGCCTTGCTGGGCCAAGTGCCGGGGGTCTTGGTGTTGATCACAGGTGCTGGAATTTGGGGTTGGTACAGTGTCCAGAAGCAATAGCCCTTGTACGATTTTTTCGGCCTTCCGGGTCGGTGATGCGCCAGGTATCCCGTTGAAAGGCAGCGAGTTCTCCCTGTTGTCATGACTCTTCTTGCCTGAAACCAAACTGACTCTCTCGGTGCGAATGGCAGGGTGGGACGCCGACTCCCTTCGACAGGAACTTTGGAACTAAGATGGGTGCGAAGTCTGTGGCATGGCTCACCGGAAAAATCAAGGAATACTCCAGGCATGGTAGGTTACACATCACAGTGGGAAGAGACCCTATGGCCCAGGCAGAGCCATCCACCTACCTTTCTGTGCAGTAGTTGGTGCACATGTCACATGCTTTCCCGGCTACATTCACGGGTGGATAAAAATTGATTTTAAAAAATCTGATTTTTATTTAAATGGGATTTGTTATTGAAATTAAATCCATTTCTCTTTAAAATTAATTTCAAATTTAACAACCTACCTGAGGCCTAAACTTACTATAATCTTTTAAAAACATTTAAATTAAATAAAAAATATTCAAACAGTACATGATTGCTGTCGAAGTTTTAAGGAAAGTCAAACCACTGAATGGGGGGAAAGCACCTGGAACTAGAGTTTGCTGATGTGCTAAACCAGCTTTTAACAGCAACGGCCTCTTCTGCAAGCGCAGAGAGTCTGTTTTCTTCAATTCAGTTTCTTCAACTAGTTCAGCTCCATGATTAGTTCGTCTGAAGTTGAGGAACTGATTGGGAGTTGAAAAAAGCAGGAAAGTTTGTTTTCCTCTTTCCATCTAGGGTGACCAGACAGCAAGTGTGAAAAATCGGGACAGGAGGTGGGGGGGGTAATAGGCGTCGTGGCCTATATAAGACAAAGCTCCAAATATAGGGACTGTCCCTATAAAATCGGGACATGTGGTTACTCTATTTCCATCTAAATGAGGTGAGAGGATGAGATCTACTGGCTCTAAAATCTTGAAGGACAACTGAAAAGTTTCAGGGGGTAGCGTGTTAGTCTGAATCTGTAAAAAGCAACAGAGGGTCCTGTGGCACCTTTAAAACTAACAGAAGTATTGGGAGCATAAGCTTTCGTGGGTA